TATCTATCTATCTATCTAATAGTTTTAAGCAGGAATTTAGAGTTCTTTTAAAAGAAGATTGGATAATTTTCTAAACTTGTGTTTGTTGGTGGTGTCTCACTAACTTGAGGTTGTTCAACTTTGACTAAGCCTTTAACATGACCATCGTGTTAACGGCTGATCCACCACCCAGAATTCCTATAAGGTAATTCCAGTAACTGCACACAGTGTTATCATGTTCACCAACATGTGATGCTGGTGATGTTTGACACCTAATGACATTCATGAGCCCATATGACACCACATTTATTAATCTGATTAATTAATGAATTAGTTCCTCACACCAGACGAACACTTTAATCAAAGGTGTGAATCTTATCTGGCATATGCTTTGCTGTTGTGGCACCATTTTTGATCTTTGGCTGACAGGCTCAAAAGAAATGTAGCTCATATTGGTTTTAATTTCAAATTGCTTGATTTATTGGATTAGATCATTTGTGTTTTTGTTGAACGTATGCAACACTAGACATTATTGATTTAATCTAACATTAAACATTAACATTAAAGGAGCCACAATACTTTTTAAGGACAAATATGCGATACATTGACACGTTTTACTGACTGGGGCACGTTTGGTGCTCTTATTTTGAAACCAACATCGCCTGATTTCCGTTATGATTTTGGTTCAATCTGGTTACCTTGATGCAGCTGCAGCATTTAATTCTCGGACACCGACTTTTTCTAGTTCACGCCAACTTCCCGACGTGCATAAGGGAGTCATTATGTAACATTTGTGTTCGCTTTAACATTTATCTGCTTTATGTTTAGTTTTATTCCGCCAACATAATTATCTGATTCACCAGATTTGGTGTCTTTACTTTGGGAACGGTCGATGGGTGTCGTAGCCAAAGTTGTTCCAGTCCAGCGAGGCCCGGAAAGCCACAAAGTGTCTGTTGTGCTGCTGAAGTGCTGCTCAATTCTTTTCATATGTAAATGCTGTAATCTGTCGGTGAATGTGGTGAATACTAACGAGCAGCGACGAGCAGGAAAACCTCCAACTTTCCAATCGTGGACAAAAGCGCGCACCCGAGCCGTGTCATGGTCCCCGAAAATTACGCACCTTACTTCTCGGGGCGCGCGTGTGCATTGTGTCGAGAGACAGCACCCGTAGGTGTTTATTAACCGCACTGTAGTTACCCCACGATGCCTGCTTGTTTGCACAGCCAGCCAACCCAGATGGTGGTTAGTTATTTATAACAGGACATGATGTCAGCATTTCATACAAGCTCCCCCCCCTATTTCATATTAACAATAAACAACAAAAGTGTTATCTTTGTGAGGGGAGACTGTGGTTCAGTGGTATGTGAGTGTGGGGGTGTAATTCAGTGTGATGGGGGGACTTTCCTGATACAACATGAGTGCTCCAGGCTGATAAAGTAAAGCCATGATTACACACGTCAGTGTCGGTTAAATCACACGAAAACATCATTTTCTCATGTAACCCAAGTGGATCTAGCTGTGGTTGGAAGGTAACTAGTACATTTACTCATCCTGTAAACATACCCCTGGTACTTATACTCAAGCACTCTCATTTTATGTTATTTTATACTTAAACTCCACTATGTTTCAGAGAGAATTAGTGTGGCATTTTGACAGCTACAGTTGTTTATTTTTCACATTAAGACGTTACAAATCAGTTTAAAAGATCCAATACGTTTTTATAGATTCAATTACCCAACAGTATGTAGGGTACTTTAAAGATCTCTGCATTATTGTTCACATAATACTAATATATACTATTACACATTGAAAGGAGTACTTTCACTCTTGATATTTACTTGATTTTGCTGGTAAGAGTGATGTACTGTTGAAGGTGGGAGTATCATCTTATTTTTATTGTGCTACTCAGATTAATCCCCACTTCACTGCGGACTGTTTTCAGTGCTTTTTCCTTTTGGTGTGCAAACACCCAGTTTATTGTCTAAGCGTTTGATTAAACAGACATTTATCGGAGCTTAGATAATAAATTGGGTGTGTGCAACAGAGACAAGTGTGCAGTTGACTTCCTTTCATTCACTCTTTCATTGACTCTGGCACCTTTTTGACTGGTGGTGTTTTGCCGTAACTCTGAGGTAATAGTTCCCAATGAAAAGTGTAAACGGCGACGTCTGAATTATCCAGAGTAACCAGGTTGTTATTGAGAATGGCATCGCTGTTGTGTACGATTTTTGCTTTGAGCACGACGAAACGATGAAGGATAAGAGGGAAATGTGTCTTTGTTGTTTGGGTGAACGGACCTTTTAATGTGCAGCGAAACCTTTGAGATGTTCTCTGGCCAGATTGAGATGAGACAGACGGATAATAGAGTTTAGTAACAAGCCTAAGGTGACAATCAGTCAAAGGCCCAAAAGGAAGCCATGTCCTCTGCTGATAATTATCTTTTCAGAGGGTCCTTCACTTTTCTACTTACAATCTCTCATTATCTGTCCCGTGTTTGTATTCAGACATCCATCAACATGAGTGTTAGATTCAAAGGTTTGGTAGTAACAGCTATCCAGCAGCAAGAACAAAACTATGTGCATCCATGTGATCGGCGTGTGAGTCTGAGAGAGAGCTGTGTGTGTGTGTGTGTGTGTGTTGTGTATGCGATGTGATTGAATTGTACCGCCGTGCTATCAGCAGAAATCAATGCCGCTGTGCTACATGATGGCTCTGGTGAAAGCTGGAGAGCTGTGTGTGTGTGTGTGTGGGGGCTGTGTAATAGTGGGTTGCCAGTTGCATAGCGGGGTCCTGATGTGTAGGTTAGGTTGGTGAACCGTCACTGATGGTGGTAATTATGCACACTGAATCACAAATGCATGTGTGTGTTTGTTGGTGGGGGGGTTGGAGGTGTTTTAGTGTTTTCCATTGCTGAGCTACTTACTGTGACCTTAGAAATTAAAAAACCTGATGTTTCAGCAGCCCTCAAGCTGGTAGAGTATTTGTTTGTTCCTAATTCATTTTATGTGTTTTGATTTGTCTGTTAATGTGTGTATGTGTGTGTGTGTGTGTTCCAGGTGAATGTGTGGAGGGTCTGTCCGAGGAGGATGTGGTGCTGTTACACTCCTGTCGTCAGTGGACCACAGTGACTGCCCACAGCTTAGAGGAGGGACATTACGTCATTGGACCCAAGATAGACATCCCTCTGCAATACCAGGGTGAGCACACGTGCACACACACTCACACGCACATGCACACTTGCTTTTCTACATAAGCATGCACCAAAATTCCTTAATAGACAGTCTTCAAAATTTTGTCTTCACCCTAAAAATATCAATTATTCCCCAAGATGTTCATTTCCTCTGGGAGTTCGGGGGGGATAAATGCACATTTTTATCACAAGGTCAACAGTTTCCACTGACTCTATTTTTGTTGAGAACAAACGTCTCTTTGGTGGTAGGCCAATAAACATATACAACAGACACATAGCATTAAACTGATGGCAAGTAATGTCTGATATTTTGACAATGACATTTAATACATTAGGTCACCATGCTCTAAAGATACACTCTAAAGCTGAATTACAGTAAGTTAAAGTTCAGTACTTTACTCCCATGTGAACCAAGTTGATAAGAATTTGTCTTAGTCCAGCTCAGATAAAACAGGAACACATATTTACAATAGAAGTCTCCGACAGTCTCCTATTTTTTTGTATCTGGTGATTCATCATGAACTTGGCAGATCACTTTCAAAAGCCTAGAGACCTTTCAAGTCTGACATAACACAGAGCCAAAATATAAACTCCCAAAATCAAGTTGAATTTTTTTTATGGAGAAGGTACATGAGTTTCACATAATCATCCCCATCACAGTCTGAGATTTAAACTGTACACGTGCATTACATGTTGCAGGGCTGTGGGTTCAAACACCACAAGGGTTGAAACCTTTCTTTGTAGCGTTTTCAGGTTCTTTCCATGTTCATGTAACTCTCCAGTGATTGATTGAAGGCATTCATGTCAGTTATTAGGAATACCCCTGCCATTCATCTTATTTTCAGCCAGTCAGACAAACTCATGCTGTGCAGCCAAACGTTGTTCCAACCTACAGAAAGCTGAAACACTTGGGGAGATTCTAAAGTTTCCAAAGATATGCAAACTGTCAGACTGAATTCTGGGCATTTAATCTTGGGTATTTCCATTTAATGGAATAGTACAGACATCAACAAAATTGAGTCTTGGGTTTGAAGATTTTACACAGTGTAAGCATTATATACAGTAGCTTCTAAGTAGACTTGGGACATGCTGATATAGAATATACTGTATGTATATGATACTGTTGGACAGTGATTTTGACAATTTGAAGGCTACTTAAGTTCAATGAAAGGGGAAAACTGTACTTTAAAGGGTAAATAAAACAACTTCCGTACATGAGATTTAACATTTGTGAGAACTGTGGGTGAAATCGTAAGAATCATATTGTAAAACTTGAAGTAAATGATGATTTTCTGGCATGTAGTGTCAATGGTTAGCGATATTGAATAATGGTAAATGACATTATACCCTAATTGCCATCCCTAATGTGCAGACAGATACTCATTACAACCACCATTCACACAACCAACCAGCTACTGTAGATACGACCTTCCCTGCTCCTCCTGTTCATTGACCTGTCGTCTTCCTGCTGAATGAATCTAGTCATTATGACCTCACCGGAGCTCAATCCCCACAATCCCATTGTTCAGACTCTCTGTCCAGTCACATTATTCGCTGTGTAACTGGATCATAATGCCTCCTCTTCATTGTCTCCTTCACTGATGGAGTGCTGATGTCACCTCACACTACTGCCGCCTCTCAGGCTCCTTTTCGGAAGAATGAAAGAACATTTGAGTGGGAGGGGGTATGTTGAGATCATTGTCATTTTACAGATTTCAGCATTTCAGATCGGAAGCGAATGACCGCCGATACTGGAAGTATTAACAGCTTAAAGTGCAAGTAGTTCTAACAAATAATAAATAACAAATATAAATGTAACACAGATGTATTGAGTCAACAGGAGCTGTCTTGGTTTCACTTCAGTGGATGAACTTTAATTAAAGTCTTAGTGTCACAAAAGGCTGTTCTAGTGTAACTGGGGTTTTCTCAATGGGGTATTTCAGTGATGTAGTATTGCACTTGCATAAAGAGAGGCACATTACAAGAGACACGTTGAAGAAGAAGCAGCAGAGGCTGTGATAGGCTATGATTTATAGTCTCTTGTATAACTCAAGCTTCAGCAAACTCTGGATCCTGCATTTCCCATAATGCAACTCAATAGTCATATTCATTAGCATCAGAGTTCTTTAATCCAATTTTGGAAAACTATCTCCAAAAAAAGCCACAAAAGACAAATACAGGCTGAGTAGTACTCCCTGTGATGAGTAAACTGTACTTCATGTGAAATAGATCGGTTCTCGTTTTACATTTAGTTTCAGGGATTTTCTGATTTCTCTTAATGATCAACAATCTGGCTAACGGCCGATCAGATGCATTTCTGGCTTGGTGGCAGTTTGAGCAGTTCAGCCGTCCAGTTTCCAAAGTGGCTGCTGTCCAAAGATCTGTTACTGTACTTTCCTTTCATATGAAAGTACGAAATAGAAGTAAAGCTGCATTTCTCTCTTCCAGTGGACATTGTTTAGGGCGCGGTTATCTTGTTTGAATGAACTTTATTGGAATTAACAATGGGTAAATCTGATTGGGAGTTTGGTGCGCAACTGATCTGCACAGTCTGAGCATAAAAGTCACAAGTTCTGGGCCACGCAGAAAGGCAGATTAAAATGTGTAGCGTGAGTGAACACAACATATAATACACAGTCTCCCTAGCATTAAAGATACAAAGCAACAGGTTTGTGATTATTTGTTTTTTGTTGCTACACTTTCTTAATCAGCTGGTTAACAGTCTGAAAAAAGCTTGCATTTTTATGTTTAGCTTATTAGTAATAGTAATGTTTTTTTGTTAGGTGGAAGTAACTGTGGACGAATGGTTACACTGGTGCAAAAAGAGCTTTATTGTAACAGCCTCGTAAGCATTACATCAACCCGATATCTCAGTTGTGAAACCATTTCCACGATGCACTCTGGTAGACTAGCCAGCCAACAAAGCCAATTAAATATATATGCATACTACCTAAACTCATGACTTTAAATATAACAGGTGAGCTGTTCTTGAATGAGAGGCCGGTGATGAGCTAATGTCTGTGTGATGACTTCATGCAGGAAGTCTAAATAAGCTTAGGAGGAGAGCAATATAGGTTTCCCCCTGGGGATGGACAACAGGATACTCCCTCCTTTTTATCCTCGCTCTCTGTCTGTATCCTCCTCTGTCCATCAGTGAGAGGCAAGGATGACTGAAGGGGAGAGGACAGAAAAGCTGAATGAATGGGTTTCAGCGAAGCAAGTGGCGCCACAGCCACCCGTGTAATGTGGAACTAGCTGCCAAAGGCTTGTGTGTGGGGATTTAAAAGCCTCAGACTGATTCTGTTTTTAGTCCTTGGGACATTTTCTCACAGAGTAACACTTACTTATTAATACGCTGTTACATCTCAATTCAGTTGGTTTCAATTCTAGCTTAATAAGACTCGAGTTTTGTTAGGTGTATTGGTAAACCTGTTTCATCTGAAACTCGTCCTCAGTCTGTGACTTCTTTTTGAAACGGGGGGTTGGTGGGTTGTGTTGAAAAGTAGCACTTGCTGGTATTGTTTGGCGGGTGGAAGCTCCTTATCCCGGGGGCTCTGTTTGAATTAGAGGGTTGGGGGTTGGAGGAGCAAAAAAGGGGGAGAGAAAAAGGAGGGAGGTGCTGGCCAGGAAGATGGGGGAGTTTGGTATTCTGCTCTGCCTCCCAGACAAAAAAACTTTCTCATCTCTCTCTCCCTCACACACACAAACACTTGCGCGGCAGAGAAAGGATCCTTCGAGGGTTGTAGTACTTTAAATGCAATCCGGTAAACTTGTAAATAAGGATAAAGGTTCATGTGATTTCAACAAGGCCCATTGTGCGTTCCTGGAGTGCTTCTTTACGACATCAAAAAGTGGCACAAACCAAAAAACATTGAAAAGAACACAAAAACACAAACAAAGCCACTGGACTGCGACACTGGAGCGCACGAGTGTGAAAGCCTTACAGACGGAGGAGGGGATGAGCAAGGGAAAGAAGGAGTGAAGAGAGAGAGAGAGAGAGAGTTGTGTGTCTGTGTGAGTGTATGTGTCAGTGTCTCCATGGTGATGTGTCTCTGCTCTGCGTGAGAATGGGGGTCCTTTATTGGTTGCCATGCCAACCCCGTCGGCTGTTGATTGGCTGGGTGCTGGTGCCAGGTCATAGGTCACGGAGGTGTCTTTGTATTCTTCTCGTCCAAACAGTGTCTACTGCGGGTGTGCGTGTGTGTTTGTGTGTGTGTTTGCAGTACGACTGTAGGGAGTCAAAAGAGAAATGAAAGATAGAACAAAAACAACTTTTCACCTCTTTTCTTCCCTTTTCTCCTCCTCTTCCCTCCTCTGCTTTCTTCCCTTATTGTCTTCTTCTACTCTTCTCTTCCGTCCTCTTTCCTTGTCCTCCTTCCTGCTCTTTTTCTGGATTTTCCTCTTTTCCTCACTGGTCTATCTTATTTTTCTTTCATGCTCTCCTTCACTTCCTTTTCCAACACACGTCCTCTTCCTCCTTCCATCTTTGCGACTCCCTTCTTAAACCTCCTTCACCCTTCTTCTCTGTCTCCTGTCCTGCTTCCATCTCCTCTGTAGGGAAGTTCAAGTTGTTGGATGAAGACCGAGACGTCAGGGATCCGGTCCAGTATTTTTCCAGCGTGGAGGAAGTTGCCGGAGTCTTCCCCGACCGGGTCTTTGTCATGGAGACGATCACTTTTAGCGTCAAGGTTTGCATTTTGTCTGCCTTTCCCGGGTTATTTAATAGTTTTTGAGAAACATGAGAATATCATACTTGAAGTTTCTGTCATGCAACATCATGTCCACATATCCATACATGTGTGTCCTGCAGGTGGTTTCAGGGGAGTTCAGTGAGGACAGTGAGCCCTACAGCTTCACTCTGCAGGCTGGAGATGAGCTGTCACTCATGGGGAAGGCGGAGCTGCTCTGTGCCACGCCCTCTAAGGAAAAAACGGGTCTGAGTGCACTCCTGAGACGCCTGGGCAAGACTCCTAGAAGTAAGCATGGCCAAACGGTTGAGTTAAATATTATTGGGAGTCTGTACAAGTCCTAATATTAGAATGAGGACATGGGAATAAGGGAAATCGGTATGGGAAAAGTTAATTCCTCCTTAGAAATGGATATATACTGTATATATATTGTGTGTTTTTGAAGGGATTTTCATCACCATGCTTAGTACCTCACACCACCAAACCACAAACTCTGCTCAACACTTCCTTTATCAGGGCTGAATGTGGCGCATTCCCTTTGAACAGAAGACTAATGTGACCCAACATTCACTCTTTACTGTTCTGGTTCTCTCTGACCTCTAGCTAATCCACCTTTCTGTCTCGGCCTCCTCAGGTAAAACTCCCTGCCTGGTCTGTATGAACCATCGCACCAATCAGAGCGTCAGCCTGCCCTTTGGCTGCCGTGGACGCTTTTGCACACGCTCCCCTCTGGAGCAAGGCATGCTGGGAGGGGAGCACACGGTACGCAGCATCATCGAGAGGGTTCGCCTCCCTGTCAATGTGTCCGTGCCTTCGCGACCGCCAAGAAACCCCTATGATCGCCATGCAGTCCGAGAGGGCCACCGCTACAAGCTGCTCAACATCGTCAGCAAGACGGTGGTCCTCTGCATGGTGCTCCGCCGACAGGAAGTCTCCCCCTCCCACTTCCTGCTGCTGCGTTGCATGCCCCGGTTCAACGTGGCCGAGGCCTCCGTCCACACGGCAGCGCTAGAGAGCCTCCTGTTGCGACATGCATTCGACCCAGATGCCTACTCTCGTGCCGTTAGAGAAACCCGGCCAGAGCTGGAGTGTATGACGGAGGAGTGTGTGAGCCCGCGACGCTCTCGCATGTGTGTGTCAGGTCAGGACTCCTTGGCGCCGGCACTGCAGCGCCTCTCTATGTGCGGGTATGGGGGCGGGGTTTCGGACAGCCTGTCACAGCGCTGCAGGGACTCTCTTGGAGAGCGGCTGGGGGAGGGACCAGGTGAGGAGAGGGAGTATGTGACTCCTGAGTGGACTGAGGCAGAAATGAGGACCAGTGAGGAAATCCCTTATGAGGAACTGTGGACCAATCAGAATGCAGAGGGCTTGGGGAAGGAGCCAAACCTCATCTCCTTCCATTCGTCTTCCTCATTGGACGGTTCTCTTGGTACCGTGTTGACAAGAGTGTCTACCCCGCCACCTGTACCTCCAAAATCTGATGCTGTGAGTTTCAGTCTTCACCTCCTGTCCTTCTTTCCGTCCTTTAGTCTCTCATCGTTCTTATCTGTCCACAGCAGCATCCGGTTGTTAAAAGTCAGGATGCCTGGCTTGAATTATTCATACATTACAGCTTTTAAACCTCACTGACCACATTTACACACACACACACACTCACAGACAAACACACACTGACTTCCTGGAAAGGCTGCTGTACACTCAGAGCACATGAATACACATCTACATATGTCTTCACCAAGGAGGCAGGTACATGTGTGCTGTATGCTGGAATACAATAATTCAATAAATAGTACAGAGTCAGTTTAGTCCTATCATGGTAGAGTATAAGACTGATGGAGCCTCTGGTCTTAAGAATGACCAAAATTATTATCGATTTAGTGATAAAACGTGGCCACAGTCGAATTCTAATGAGGAGAACAGAAAGCAAAAGCTATCATTGACTGTTTGTGGTAAAAGTAATAATCCAAGGGATTTTGTACAAGCACTGCACTTCCACAGAAATCATTTGTCAGTCAAACAGGATTGACAGTCTTTTTTGTCTTAGTTTGAGTAGGTTTCTTGTGCTAGTGCCAGCCCGTCCCACATTTGTGGGACAGTGCCACTTATTTTGCATGTATATGTGGAAGTAGATTTAAGCTCACAATTATTTTCATTTTAAATTAATAAGACCAGTGTGGCATCCTGTAATCACTTTTTTCCTGTACAGCTGTTAAAAAAAGATATTCAATTTTATTCATTTTTTCAAATATATTAAACAGAAAAAGCAACCCAAACTTTTTTTTAAAACAATTTTGTTTCACAAACGACAAATCTATGGTTTCTTGTCTATATTTCAAGCTGATAAGGTACCTTGATAGCAACTTTGAGGACCTCATAATTTGAACGAAGTAAAATAATTATTATTTTGCTTACATTCAACAACTTAGTGCTTTAGTTGTTGAATGTAAACAAAATAATTATTATTTTGTTGATGATGCCAGTTAAACAGTCATCAGCTTGGAAGGGACTTACAGAGCCGAGGCACTCCATCTAGAGTACTTGAATGAATAGTGTTTGAAAATAACTTTTATGGTAACCAAACCTACTTTTCCACTACATACTGTAACAAGCAGACAGTTAGCATGTAGAACTGTAAATAGTTCAGGCTTTCATAAACAACATGTGGTCATAACATTACTGTGGTACATCACTCAGTGACAGAAAGAGTCACCTCTTTTATTTACATATATGGGACGTTTGTTGAATATTCCTTTCATAGTGCTTGAGTGGAATGTGTAATATATGATGTTTAACTAAATTATTTGTCAGAGTTTTGTAGCTTTACTTTTTTTAATCAGATTTATTCTTTTTTTTTTAACTTTTAAGTTTAGGGGTTGTGTGTACACTGGCAAAGCTCAGTCTGCTCTTTCATGCTTCTCATGTTCAACTGAAGGCTGTTCTGTTTCCTCTCTAAATTACCAGTACTTGCATATATAAAACAATTTAAAAAACACATTTTCTTTAAAACCAGAAAATGGTGTGTCGTGTTGGGAACAAGGTTGTTTTCTGTAGTTGTGCTGTTCTTATTTTGGAGTTATTAGGTTGTTCACCAGTATTATTGTTCATGTGTTAATGTATATAGCCTGTCTATGCTTGCAAGGGGGATATTATCACACTTGCTTTGCTTAATTAACTTTTTTTCTGTCAGAGTGATGGCAGCTAGCAGCGGTACAGAAAGGGTGCGTGGGTGTTGATGTCTGCTATGCAGCTGGATTATACCCTGTCACACACTGCGTTCTTCATTCCCTGATATTTAGCCTGCCAAGACACTGTGTGTGTGTGTGTGTGTGTGTGTAAAGAGCTTGCTACTGTGTGTGAGAGAGTTTGTTTGAGGTGTAAAGGTCACCAAGTTTGACATTTACCAAGCAGAACATTGAGACAAGCCAGCAGACACACACACACACACACACACACATAAAGCCTCCTGAGAAGTCAAGTTTCAGGAGTTAACTTTTTTTTCTGCTGTAGTTCTTATTTTTCTGTGTGTGTGTGTGTCTGTGTGTCTGTGCGTGTGTGTTTGTGTGTAGGTGAGAGAGGAGTGCCGCTACTTGATCGCCCCTCCGGTTCCCCCTCGCTGCTCTAAAGGAGGCTCCATCTCCAGTCCAGTCCCCAGCCCTCCCGTCCCACCTCGCTTCCCCAAAGCCTCCACCTCCCCGAGACCCAACCTCTCCTTCTACTCCTCTGGACTTCAGGACAGGTACACTGTGGATGTTGTTGTGTTTACTAAAAAACAACTGGAATTATTTTGTATAATTATTGCAAGGGTTTACTTGTGATGTGCTCTTTACATCCCAAACAGAGCCAGAGGTCAGGGTGAGCTAATGTAAGCTCTGTTTCCTAATAAAAGGATGCTACCAGATCTCATAAATTCAAATATGATTAGTGTTGACAAGATCGATACAGGGTACCGTTGGATCCCAGGATAACACAATGACTTTGATTATAATAAATTGATGTTTATAATAGCTACTTATACCACCCACACATAAGAGTTAGCATCACTTAAGAGTACTCCGATTTAGCATTGCATTGTGTGTGTGTCTGCGCGTGTGTGTTTGTGTGTAGGTGAGAGAGGAGAGAGTTACTTTTATAACTTTTTATGATGGACAGGTTAAAATAAGAATCAAAATTGTTGCAGTAGAATTATTCCACACATTCCTCTTCTTTGTCAAAACCTGACACTTACATTACCCACAATGCAACTTGACCAGGGACAGTTCAATTGGAGATTTGAGTGTGTTATGCTCGTAGTGATGCATTTAGCCTCGAGCAGAGATGAGGAGCGGGTTAGAGAGGTCTGGTAAGATCACTTCTTTCTAATTCCACACTCCCAGATTTAGATTTCCCGCAGCTGCCTCTGGAGCCACAAAAGGTTTCATACAACTTTGTTCACATTTGCAGTGGAACTCCCTCAGAACTATAAACAGACTTTGTTATGTAAAATCTGACTTTCAGCTACATTAGTAGCTCTGAAATAATATAAATTAAAAATCTAAATCTAAATTATCAGCATACATTTCTAGCCCTACATTATTTGACACTTTTTAATCATATCACAATGTTTTGTAAGTTTTACTATTGTTTAGTGCTGCAACTACTAAATATTTCCATTATCGATTTATCTCTTGGTTTATTTTGTTAACTGCTTCATTATTTAGTCTGTAGGAAATCTAAGAATAATGGGACAATAACTTACATAAGTTTCCAGAGACCAGAAAGTCAGATCTATAAATTGCATGTGTTGTCCAAGAGTCCCAAACTCAAAGATATTTAGTTTACAATGATATAAAACAGAGAAGAGACACATATTCTTAAGAAACTGAAACCAGCCAACATTTTGGATTTTTCCAAAAATACATCGATTATCAAAAATGTTTTTAAATAATTTTATATTATCAACTAATCAATCAATTGACTAAATGTGTAAGCCCTACGATTCTTAGTAGTAGCCTAAATAAGAATAAAATAAGATTTTTTTTTATGGTAGAACATGGTTGTTTACAGCCTTTTGTACAGTGACAAGAATAGTCATTCGAAAAAGACACTTTTTGAAATCCACATTGATCAAATCAAACCCAGCGAGCACTGATTTGGTCATTTGCAGGCCACAATATTTCTTCACGTGCAGAAATATGCTAAATTTGAGGTTATACTAGAAGCTAATGTCACTTTCTCCTGCTCTGTCCCAGCTGCTCGCCCTCTCCAGATGCTTCCCTCTACTGCTACCCGTGCTCCTGGGCGGACTGTCCCGCCCCTAACCCAGCCAGTCCTGAGCCAGTCTCTGCCATCCCTGCAGAGAACACAGCCAATCCTCAGCCAGCGCAGGCCACCTGGGCAGAGCCGTGGGTAGATTCCTTCACCTCCTCCGGACCTCGACTGAGGCCGCCACCTCCACAGAGTAGATTTGCTCCCTTCGGGGCATTGAACCCATTCAACCGCCAGTCCCCTTGTCCCTCGCCTGAGCCCGCTGCCAATCCCACGACAGATTCCTCCAGAGGTGCAGAGGGCGGTGGGACATCCACAGGGGTCACTGAAGGGTTGTCTCAGCCCCCTGACCCCACCTGGCGACCTCCTGCTGACCTGTCGGTGTTGTCATTGGAGGAAGTGTCGGCCTGCCTGCGGTTCATCGGCCTATCAGAGGCAGCGGTGGCTGTGTTCCAGAGGGAGCGAATCGACGGCAGCCTCCTGGTGCAGCTGACTGAGGACATCCTGTCACATGACTTCCACCTGAGCCGACTCCATGTCACCAAAATCACACAGTTCATACAGGGCTGGAGGCCCAAGATCTAACACACACACACACACGGTCCTGATAATGTGCCTGTTGGCTACTGAGCCATCCTGAATGTGCCTTCCACTGTGACCAACCGGCTGCTGAGCCCCACTGACTCAAGCTGAAACTTTGCTGAAGGAAACTACGCCACCCTGTGGTCGAACTATAGAAGACACTTGACTGGCTCACATGCCAGGAGTCTCTGACTGACTGCATAATTCCTGTCTGAATCACAGACTGGGACTAGTTTACTAACAAATGGCTACGACAGAGAGCTACACGATGAAAGTGCCCTGTTTCAATTCGTCTTTGGGGCAGATAGTCAACCACAACACATCTTCAGGCTGCGAGACAGCTAAAGGTTTTTAAGCACTACATGGACATGGTGCCACACAAAATCTGATATGAGGGGAAAACATGCCTTCATTTTACTTAAAGATATTTTGACAAATGAATTTCTGCAGTTTTCACATATTGCATTATTCACGCCACAGTAAGGGTTTAATGTGAGTCTTTGCAATATAAGGGGCATTAAGGGATTTACAGCATCTATTTGACCAGTAGGACATGTAACAATACAGATGTAACATTGAACCTGTTTCCTACTTGAGTGTCTTGCACAGCCCTCTTCATCTGTCTCATTGAGCTTCAGTGTGATTGGCATACATAACAAAGTGGTTCTTGAGAGATAAGAAAAATGCAGAAAGTCTGAAAGTCAGAAGCACCCAATAAGGAAATTATTGAGTTTCTGGTACTGATCAATGATTCACTGAACCATCTCTGAATATACAGTATTTTGTTTGTATTTGTAAGGCCATTTTATGCTTTGGGACAGTGACATTTTTATTAACATTCCCTTTAAGGGTAACACAAGATGTCCTTCTGTCAGTAGTCAGACACACAGATGTGTTGCCACGTTATATTAGAAATCTTCGACTGCCTCAGAAATAGAGTTTTCAAAATGTACCTCAGATAATTGTTCAGATATGCTTGATTTAGCCATGCATAATAATAAATGAAATTACACTAAGTGATATGTTCACATAGCTATTTGTTTTCACTTCACTACACACCACTAGACAAATAAACACACGTTTGAGTAATAAGTAAGTAAAAAACAAACGGTGCAAGAGTGTCAAAAGTATTGACAGTTTGAGGAAAGGAGGTCCAAAATATTATATATTATAAACTATTGAAGTATTATTAATGTTGCAAAAGATATTAAAACAACTGTTGTAATTGTCCAGTTATTAAGTAATAAAAATGAAAATGTTTAGGAACATCTACTTTTTAATGTTCTGAAGTAAATTGAGGGAAATTTTGATGGGCTATTTTCTTTTCTTCCATTTTCTTCCATTTTTATTCACCAAATAATTAACTAATGAAAAAATAAGATAAAGGGAGTTTTGAGTTGCACCCCTACATTTAAATAAACATGCTACAGATTTGAATTATATTGGCCGAACATATAAAACCTACAAAATCTGACAGTAACAAAATGACCAGAATGATTAAAAATGTTATTCCAGACTGAATCTGGACATCAGCAGATAGAGGGATGGAAGTTTTCCTCTGAATTTGAAACATATATCCAGCTTTAATCTGGATACAAACTATTTCTTCATACAGGTACACATTATGATAGCAATGTTATGTAAGCAGGGACTGTGGCCTCAGCTAACACTGAGGGTTGTTTCAAGAAGTAAGACCATCCAGTTTTGCCAGATAACTTAAAATGCAATTTGTGTTGTTGTAAATGTCAAAGTAAACATGTTTGTTGTGATTCTCTTGTTGCCATACAAGCTGCTGTTCTCTCGTAATGTCTGAAATGATCCTCTTTAAATTCCATAACATTCAAATAACAAATTTGATTTTAAAAAAAGTCTGCAGTTGGGTCAAAGGCTGCTTACTGATGCCATGTTTCTCCAAATTGTTTCTCCTGACATCTTATAAACTCCATAAATCCTCTCTCCCTCTCTGTGATCGTGTAACTGCGAGGCCACTGTAAGAAGAACAATGAAGAAATAAATAAGAGAATACAAAATAAATAGAAACGTAATGACCTCTGAAAATCAACTTATCCTCTTTTGTTTTGTCTTGTGGTTGTGGGGAGCTGCAGTCGTAACAACTCACAGACAGGAGGTTGCGAGGTTTATTGCAGATAAGGCCGGATACTGTGGCACTATTATTGCATTGAAAGAAAAAGATAAAATAAAACAGCATCCCAGATCAGTTATCAGAGAAATGGGCAGTGCTGCAGGCTGTTTAGCCATATGTAGTTTGCAGCCACAACTGTATATCATAAAGTATAAATAAAAATTTTTAAGTAAAGAAGCATGAGTAAACATCTTATTCCAGGTACAAATAAAACAAGCACAGCTTAGACATTGCAAAGGTTGTGGTTTCAGAAGTAAATTGGCCTTCATATTAACAGAAAAACAAGATATAGTTTTACACTTTAAACTGAACCCAGCAGATGATGAATCAGGAGCTTATGACAGATTCATAAACAGATATAAAAAACAACAAAGATCAGAAGTAGAAAACATCATGGCTTTTACAGGAAATAAATTCTTGTCTCACACAACATGGTGCACGAGAAAACTGATTACCTCAACAGCAATCCTACAAACCATGAAAAAGGTGATGTCTCAGTGACCAATGTGGAAGAAGTACTCAGATCCTTTTTTTAAGTAAAAGCAATACAATAAAACAATCTAATAATACCTAGTACAAAGTAAAAAGTCCTGCATTCAAAATCTTACCTCAGTAAAAATACAGAAGTACTATTGCTAAAATGTACCTAAAATATCAAGTAGTCGTTTTACAGCTCAATGGAACTGCGACTGATTATTATAAACTACTAATACTGATGCATCAATGTGTAAGCAGCATTTTATGTAGCTGTCGAGCTAGTTTTACCTACTTTATATCACAGACTTTTGAAGAGCTTAATGAACAGTTAATATGTAATAATGTTATAAATTTTTTTTAAATGTAAAATCTTAACCTAAAAAATAACTATGACTATAACTATCCAATGTCTCCCTCTACTGGGTGTCTCTGTATTCCCTCCTAGAGACACAGAACTGCCTCATTTATGAAGCAACCGGTGCTGGATGTCAAATACACATGATCATTTTAAGAGAAAGATCAGATAGATGAAGAGCTGTCAGTTTGTATTTCCTGAAGAGTTCTTCAACTTCAGGATTCACACTCGTGTCTTCCACTCCACTGCCACTGATAAAGTGGCCTTTTTTAAGACTTTTACGATCTACAATTGATAATAAACATATTAGACTCACTGAGCGGGTTGAGGGTTAAAACTAGTCGTTTTTTGGAGTCACTGCCTGGATACAGTTTGTAATTATTGACTCAATATATTTGGTAATTGCTGAAAATGGATTATACTTTATATAAAATTGCAAATATTTGTAATTTTAGTGTGGGGAAAATGGACAGTTTAATGTAAGATACTGATTCATCTTGTAGAGTGTGCAAATACATAAATAAAACAAAATATAAAAGTGCAATATGCAGTATGTCAGCGGTGCATCTTCACACTGAGCTAACAAGTTAGGTCTGCAGCAAAAAGGTTACCTGATCTTGCTCCAAATAATACAGAAATACACAACAAATGCACATTTACTGTACTATTGATAGTACAGAATATCTTTTTAGTGCTACTCTCAACAAAATGTGTAAAACAATTCAACCATTTTGGATTGGTACAGTTTAAAATTGTGCAATTTTTTAAACTGAAGAAATTCCAGAGCATGAGACTGTACCTATCGCCTCCTTGAGGACTGTTTAAGGTGGGTGTCCTTGAACATGGCCTCTACCACCATGTCAGCAGACTTGAAACCGGAACGGTCAAAGTAGACTGAAAGACTGGACAGTGTGACGACGACGACGAAGAAAATAACACTAAAGAAGAACCACCTGCTTTTATTATTGATGAGGAATGTGGAAATGCAAATCTACATGTGCATCTCCCTCTTTTGTAGACCTGTTCATGTCCCCTGCTGATGCTCTCCACTGTGGTGTCCTTTAGGATGTGGTCTGGCCTTTATCTTTTGATACCTGGGCTACACCAGCACCTATCAGCCAGCCTCCATACAACACATTGTACAGTTGTCATATTGCTGACATTGAGGCAATAGAACACGTTTAAGGTGTTGTTAACAACACATTGCCACCTTCCTAAAAAGAGGCAAAAATAGACTGGAATCTAGCAAATTTAGTTAGTCTGTGATATAAGGACCATGACTATGGACTAAATTGTCAGAAACATTGTTTTTATGCAACTGGGAGAAGAAAAAAAAAAATAATACATTGAATAACACAAGACAGAAAGTGACACACATGAACGACATCATGTGGAAATGTGTTAATCCTCTGCTACTTCCCATTCGTGAGTTCCTTACTCAATGACATTGACAGGAGCAAAATAGAGGCCTTTAGTCTGTTTCTGGGCCTTCTCACGGACAGTCAGTCTCACAGACCAAACACATCACTGTGTCCTGGAGCTCTGCACAGGCACACACACAATAACAATTTACACATGTGGACCATTCAAGGTGTATTGAGAGCCTGACGGTATATGTGCATGGACGATTAGAGCTTATCACAGACAAGCAGCAACAGTGTTGGTCGATGAGTTACAAGAAAGAGCAGTTTTTATAGTCACTGTGGGACACTGTGGGCCCATGCTCACATATTCTATTGTTTGGGAATACAGTAGATGCTTTGGGCAATATCAACAGGAAGAGTGACTATGGATTTAATGAGCTATGCTTTTTTAAAGCCTGTATTTGTTTGCATTTTGGCTCCATTAAATGTATGTCGAATTAACTATTAGCTACTACACTACTTTAGTTCTAAGAGGATTTATGGACGTTTATATTACGATGGACATCAAATGTAATGATATCCGCAGCAAGAGTAAGTCACACTGAATGAAAATATGTGTTGAGTTGACTACGTTATGTGACTGAGAAGGAGTACATTTTTTTACCCTCCGTGCCCCCCTGGGGAGGTGTGCTCACTCTGTATGAGGCTCTTGTTGGCGATTCCCTTGGCTACGCGTCCTGCAACTTCATCATGGTATTCAATATTCCTCTCTGGGAGTAAACAAACACAAGAGTTTAATCCCCTCCCACCTTCACCTAGAGGGGCAAACCAGCGGATTACAGCAGGAAAACACTCCTTTTATCTGTCTCATGAAGCACAGCAAAATGAAGAAATGCCACACACAGAACATACCCAGAGGGTCCACAAGCTGGTCCACTAGAGCCATCTTCTTGGCTTTATCTGCCCTGATGTTCCCAGCCTGTCAGCATCATGTCAAATACTCCAGGGAGACCCACCTACACACACACACACACACATTCGACAAGCAGGTTTGCAGATATTGTGAGCAGATATCCCCCCAAGTGAGGCTCTTGACCTTAATATACTCCAGTGTAACTCAGTAGCCACTAGCACAAGACTGTGGCAGTGCTTTCAAGCCATTAAGCGAATAACTGATTAATATGAGGGTGTGTGTGTATACCATTTTAGGCAGTCTCTGAGTGCCGCCTGCTCCGGGCAGCGATCCCAACATGACCTCTGGTGTCCCTGGGACCTTTTTTTTTAAATTATTTGTGTTTCTTGTAATGACAATTTGGAACTAGCACAAACTACAGATAAGACACAAAATTGGAGCTTAGTGGTCAAATCTTGGCATCTTTCACACCTAATCTGGCTCATGCTGTCACACACACACACGGTTGTACCTCGAGGCCATGCAGGCCGTGGATGGCAGCGACAATAAGGATGGGAGACTTCTCAATCTTCTCAAAAATCTTCTGACCTTCCTGAGAGAGACGGATGACTGTCACACTGAGATTAGAGAGATAAAAAGTGTTTCATTACTCAGCAGTTCAGTAACATACAGTAAGCAGAGGAGACATATTTAATTTGACTGAATTTCTTATTGACTTTTGTATGAAGTGAGCCATGTGACTTTCAACCTCAGTTTGCTGGCAGTTAGGAAAGTTTGAAGCATAAAAATGCACCATAATACATTTCTTCCCACTGATTCAAACCCACTTACAAGCGTAGGAGCGACCACACACACACACACAAGTAGTGGAAATCCTGGTTCAAGCTCTAATAAGGCTGCTAGATACCTGCACTGGCAAGGGAAACAGCCGGGCTTGCTGGAGATGAAGACGGCACTTTTTCAGAGCTCCTTTCGACCAGATCTCCCCCATCAGCTCAGACTGCATCTGCACTGACAGTGTGTTCACCTGCATATACAAAATAAAAAAAAAACACATACGCACAAATGCACACACTCTGATTAGGGATGTCACATTTGTCAGCGAGAGACAGAGACACGTAGTCAAGACCGTCACAAACATAATCTCTCTCTCTCTTTCTCTCTCTCTCTCTATGACAAGTGGGTACTGTCTAATACTCCCTTCCACAAACACACACCCACACACCTTGGCTGTTGGATCATTGAGTCGTATAACTGCCACATCATCCTCGAGCTCATAGTTGACGTGTTTGAGCTTGATGGAGAGAACCGTACAAAAGAAAAGAGGCCGTCAGACAGAGGGCTACCAGTATTGTATTATGCTAATTTCTGCTAGTTTAACGACATATCCCTGGAGGATATTAGCATAAATAGCACAAACACACTTGAATAGTGACCTTGCTCAAGGACATTTGGGCTTATAGGGAACTGTGAGGGCCCCACAAACCAGGCTGTCGCCAGCTGAACTGCGACTAAATGCGTACTTCAAGTTTTTAAAGATCAAGTCTGTGTGTGAAAGAAAATAAAAAAATCTAATAGTGTAAAGCAGCACCCATACACACCTATTGGACCCAATGGATTCACACTAGTCCACCGTGCTACAGGCGGCGGTAATGTCCCACCATACACACCAATGTGCCCACACAGACAGGGAAGAAGAAGATTGCAAGCTAGAAAAAAGATGGGCGTTAACAAGGTTTCAAAATGTTAAAAAATAAATGCATTCAATCCATCTGTTAGACCTCCAGGGTACACACAGTGTGTTTAGATGGGTCAACACTGTAAGTACACATAACTTTTGTTTGTTTACACAAAAACTCAGAGCGCCTTTAATCTGGTTGCTTACTGACAATGCAAGCAAAGGTTAATTTAAGTGAACATTTGACTAGAAAAATTGTTACAGGCTGCGAAGGACACAAATCTGGTCTTGAAACTTTCACATCAGAGGAAGACCACACAG